GTTAGAAAAATGTAAGAGTACATTGTAGATAATGACACATGATACATTCTGATAGAAAAGAAGATTTGTGAGGAAAGATATATTTTCTATTTAATAAGAAAAAAAAAAAATGTTCAATGTTGCAGAAACGCGTTGACGAATTCGCGATAGAGGAGATTAAATCTATCAAATAAAAGCTTATTTCATATTTTTCCGCGATATATCCGACGTTCATCAGAATCAGGATATACGATAAAATGTTGCCTCTTGCCGGTGCTGTATTATACATATATAAATAATACGACGCAATGTGCGTGGTGTGAGGATAATTGGCAAGGAAAGGATAAGATGAACTTATAGTGCCGTGTTACGTACAATACGTAAGTAGTAGCAGAGCATTCAGATATGTAATCGCGTTGCTATAATAGTACGTGAGAGTTATCGCGAAACGCCAGAATGTTGTTCAATTATATGTATTATTACTCTATTATAAAACGCTTCTGAACATGTCGGTGTAACATTTATGATTGGCGGTAAAATCTCGGCACCGCATCTCGGTAACGGAACCGCTTTGACACATATTAATGAAAATTATCTAGATAATATCTATTCCTTTGCCAATGTAATTTTATGTTTTTCGTACGTTCGGTACGTTTCTATCGTGCATTTCCACCGACGTGGAAATGTACGGACTACCAATTAAAGGAAACATCCTTTCGGATCAGATTTTTACCGAAAGAGCTTGACGCATTTTCAACGCGAGAAATTTTATTTCATTGGTCATCTTTCAGCAAGACAACGCCGTACAACGACGAATGAGAGTAATAGTGTTGCAGATATGATATTTTTATGGGCTAGCTCGATCGCGCTTTATCGAACGATGTCGACGATGATCCACGACGGTTATTAAAGTTTTACCGTGGATGCAGATTTTACTGCCGAGATAGCTTCATGACACAGTAGCTTTGTTAACTCAATATACCCCTTCGCGGGTATTGCTATTATCGTAATTGTTAGGATCCCGATCCCGCGTGAACGTACCACTAACAGCGTTAGCAATTTCGAAAGTGTGATATTTTTTAATATATCCCCAGGAATTAAATATTGGAAATCCGGATTGACGTTGGCGTTAAAGTGATTTTTTTTTATTAAACCGCGCGCAAAATTCAGAGAGTATGAGAAAAAGTTCATTGTAAAAAGTATGCGCGTGCGCGGATAAGGTGCTGTGTTGTCTTAACATAATGTATGTCTAATCTTTTATTCTTCCTTTCCCTTTTTTTTTTTTTTTTTTTTTTTTTTTTTTTTGTTAAAAATGATAGAAAAAATTGTTTACCGTTTTAAAGTTCCCTTTCTAATGTGATTTTCAGCGATTGTCATGTTCAAATATTGTGTGTGCACTTCCCTCTTGATTAATAATGAATTTTTCCCGCTTTCGAAACGCCATGTGTTAGACGCAGATGTTTCTCTGTGTGTTTCGTGTGTGCTTACACAAAACTGACATTGATGCCGTTTGTAAAATAACATTTCTAACTTTTTCACCGTTTAGCCCATATTAGTCAAAACAGATAAATGTGCTTTGCCGAGTTAGAAGTTTAACAGTCTCTTTTTATATTTTTGCATAATTATCCGAGTTTATTGAATGTACCCAATTAACCATACATGTACGACATTGTATTTTCTTTATTTTTTCATTCAATTTTGCTACATTCGTACGTTATGGGCTATTCCTCATAATTTGCGACAGCAATAAAAGTGTCCGAAGATTAAATACTCAATTTCGATAGTAAAAGTATATCAATATACATGTAAAAGTATACATATATTAATATTTTTAGCCATTATAATTGTGACTCATCTTCTAATTAATTCAATACACACATTATTTTTCTTTACGGTTATATATATATTTAAACAAATATAATTGTAAAATATAGCAATGTGTGTACTTCGAATTCTTAAATATGTAAGAATCTTATAGTCTGAGAATTAGTTTTAACAAAAATCATTTAATAATAATCAGATTATGTTAACGTATAGTTTTTAATATAATTTAATTTAATTATATTTTTCTTTATAAGATTTTTGAAAACTTGAGAACTTGAGAACTGTGCATGAATAGATAAAAGTGATACAGCATATGTTTTCTGTGTTCGAATCATATAGAGGCGAATCAGTCAAGATGGGCAACATCAATTGGAGCAAAGCACATCCTTTTCATTATATCGTCAAATCAGAACGAGCTTCAAGCGCGGTAGCTCGAACCACGTCGCGATCATGAGGAACATGCAAAGGGCATTAAACATTCGTCGGGTACCATGATGCACGCAGAGATTCATCAGGATTGATATAAATTATTTTTTCACAACCCTCCGGAATCTTGCAGAATCAATAACATCATAACACATGTATAAAATGCATACGATTGAGCAAGTCTCTCTATGAAATTTCAGATCTGAAATATGATCAGATTATGTTAAATCACATGACGCTAGAAAAACGATCGTTGATCTTATCGCGAAAAGGCGAAAAACAATTTTAAATGCAGGATACGCAATATCAATTGATAAAATTAATTAAAGATTTTAGTAATGTTTTTAATAATGAGATATAACGATGAAATGAATTACAAACCATCATGTTATTTCGAATTTACTTAATACGATTTTAATTTTTATTTTGCTTTTTATAAATAAATATAATACAATCAAAATATATTTGAAATTTTAGCATAATAAAAAAAAATTGAAAACAGAAAACAAATTAAAAAAATCAAAAGCCTTATAAAATATTTTTACAAAATCTCTTAGTACTTTGATTTTAGATGATTTAATATTGACATGTATATCTTTATATATTTAATAATATATATTTAATAATATATATTTAATAATAATGTTAAAAAAATTAATGAATGAAATATTTAGATGTAAAAAGAAGCTAACTAACTACGAAGGCATGTATAATCCAATGCAATATATAATAATGCGCGTTGCATTTATTTATATTTTATCGGTGAAGGGACGATAATCTCGCTGAGAATCAAAATTAAGCAATTGAAAATTTATGTTACAAACATGCATGATGTTCTTTAACCGTGCAAATGTGCCAAGAATTTGATAAAAGGCAAAACGTTCCGATGTAGACACGTGTCTGTTCGTTAGTTATCCATTAATCCATGCGTCTCTTACATTTTTACATTTGTTCGTTACATTATCATTTCAATAAGATTCTATTTAATACTGTCTGAATTTTGTCCGTTGACGCAAACAGCAATCCGTATTACATTTAATTAACATATTAGTAAAATTTGATAGTGCATTAAATACCACTTTCCTAAATCACTAATATTAGGGTAATTTTATGGGTACGCTTGAATTTAATTTCGTAGTGGTATTTAATGATTAATGATATTTTTTTAATTTATGTTTCTACTTATATACGACTGGCCAAGTATTACTTTCTCCCGATACTAATTATTTATAAAACAGCCAGTCTTTATTACAAAACTCACGCCTTATTGTAAAACGAAAATAATTATTATTCTGTAATATAATAATTTATAATTTATTTATGTTTGGGTCTTCAATGTTCGTGCAAGGTGTCACAGGAAGTATACACAATACTTTCTTGATTCATGCATTTTCGACAATAATTTTATCGTTTGCGCTGAGATCAGCGTTTGCATTACAATTAAAATGATTTTTTGGATACTCAGAAATGAAAATGAAATTATGTATAGAGCATGTATGTATTATATTTGAAGAGAATTTGGTGTTGGAAGTTGGATTGAGAAATCACGTGCGTACGGCAACCGATAGCGATGGACTAGTTGTACCAATTTTAAAGCTTGACACTTCGTATATTAGATTTAAACAAGATATTCGATGCTTTTTCCTCTTAATTGTTAAACTACAACTCTTCAACGTCAATGTTATTAGAAAAAAAATACTGAATTCATGACGTCTAGTCCATTCCTATCTGCCTGAAACTATTATGTAATAATAATTAGTTAATTTCAGTAACAGAGCGATCGATTTAATTATGTTGTCACGAATGAATTGTCACTTAATCAAGATGTTCGGCAATATATAACTATATACGTATATACCATTACATTGATATTATTTAAATAAAATAATTATTATTCTTATGATTGCTGCTGTTATCGTCGTAATTTACAATATTGGTCCTTCGTTATATTCTTCGCTGATGTTCTTCTTTTGTTAAGATATCACATGTTTCTCGACACTGCATCATTAAAAGAAATATTATGAAATATTAAGAAATATTACGTTATCACAAAAATGACTCTCTCTCTCTCTCTCTCTCTCTCTCTCTCTCTCTCTCTCTCTCTCTCTCTCTCTCTCTCTCTCTCTCTCTCTCTCTCTCTCTCTCTCTCTCTCTCTCTCTCTGTCTGTCTGTCTGTCTGTCTCTCTCTCTCTCTCTCTAGCAGAGGCTAGATATGCAGAAGTCTAAACTGTTGAAACATTTTATCGTTATGAGACATTAAATTGATCATCTTAAAGGAATTATTATCTGTAGTATTTTTATGATCCTCCCTCGGTCCATATTTTATTTTTGTTTTATTTTATCGAGAGTTTCTTATCCTGGTTTCTTTATTTGCTCCCTTTCAGACTCACCTGTAGGCAAGCGAACACGAAGATAATTGTAAAAAGCGAAAAGAGAACGAGACAGAAATGATTATGGGACATGACTGACCTGATGGGCAGTTGGTGCATTTAGAAATCTCTGGAATTAATGTGAAAAAGAGGCATTAGGATTATTAATGTAAGTCCAAATATAGCAATAAGCGAGTACACTCGGAATTGTATGGGGCGTTACCGATGTATCCCTTTACACCGAGAGAAAAATTAGTGCAATTAGATTCTATTAGAATTTTTATAAGATAATTAGCAGCGAATGTTGCAAGTACAAAATTAAAGTGAAAAGATCATATTTTTATAGAGATTTGGGCAATTATGAATCATTATAGATTATTTGCTACCGGGAAGAAATATTTTCCTCTCGGTGTCTTTCGTTATGTTTCTTTGTTCTGTTCATGAAATCTTAAGAATCGTTTAATTGAATTATGAATGTTTAATATAGTACAAGTATCTCGGAATGTTCAAAAATAATCCAGACGATGTTCTCGAAACATATCGCGCATAATTCTACAATAGTACATAAAGATTGAACCAATTGTCCGTAATACATGTAATTTTCTTAGATTTTTTTGAAAACTGGTTGACTGGAAAGAATCGTAAACATGTTTTTCAAGTTGATTGCCTCGGTCTGCTTTCGGCGACGAATACGTTACATTTAAGTTATTTATTTTTTGCTACCGTGCGCTGCCTTATATATCTATTTAAGGAATTCTTACGTGGCTATCGAGTGCAACGAGCATCTCTTCCGGAAGTATATTTATGAAGACTGCATACTTTCACATTTCATATCGTCCTTAGATAGACTTTAACCTTTTATCTTACTATCCAAAAATCTCTTTATTAGATCTTTTACATTTTCGAGTATAATTGTGCGCATAAACTGTTGAGCGGCGGTATTTTACTTACGCAGAGCGTTTTATCAGATCTTATAATGATTGCCGAAGATAATTTATTATTCGACAGTGTGCGCGTTTAGATGCATTTAGACACGTCTGATGTAGGTGCGTTTTCTGGAAAATATGCGTAAGTGCCGAGATATAGATCGCACTGGAAGATATTAGCGGTAACTAACAATTACCTCAATAGATCCTGGCACAGATATTCTAATGCGAAACTTGCCTCAATTGTCACGAGTTAATTGTCATAACAGGCACAAGTTTCCATCGCATCTCTTTTCCTCACTGAAACTATCGAAACGGGCGTGATAATCGCATTATCATTCCATATGTGTAAAGATGTGCTTTCTTAAAAACGGAATTCTTGCATAAATCTGAGCACCTTCGAAATCATTCGCAATATAGTCAAATATCACATACACTGAGCTCTAGCGAGAGTATTTCTTCTTTTATTCATATAAGTATGATTTTTACGAAAAGATTAACTCAGAAAACAGAAAAACATTCCTTTTCGCTCCTACGCGCACGTTCCAATTTTTCGGTTCGAGTTTCGTTCTTTGCATTACCGCAAGCGAGTACGGTTCTTTCGCGTTTCTTGTACACTCAGTATTAAAAATAAATGTTTTTCGAGAAACAGGAAGCGACCGCGCGAGTGTAATATGGTTCACGAAAGCGGCAGCGATAATGATGAGACAATTTGGATAAATAGAATTTGAATTATATAGAAAAGAAGATGAATTATTGCTAAGATATAGGCATAATAAGGCAATAATCAAGAAGGAAACTACAACGTACAATTATTAACCTCTCAATAACGTCATGCTAATTTGTCTATTATCTTCTCTCATTTAGAGTAATTTGATTCTATTTGAGATACTTTAATATAATAAATTTAAGAATCATAATTCAAATTTAATTCAAATAATTCAAATTTAAGAATCATAAAATTGCAAACGAGTGAACTAACTTGGCAAAGAGTTGCTACTAATGGATATTATAAATTATGTATTGATGTATTAATGTTTTGATTATAAATTTTATTATAAATTAATATATTGTATGTTATAAAAAAGTTTTATTTAAATATTAATAAAAATTAATATATATTAAAATAATAAATAAATTATAACCTACATTGCATAATTTTTCTTATACGTTCAATTAAAGAATATTGTCTCAAGAATTTAATACGATTGTTTTTATGACTTAATTATTTAATTAGCGTGACTTTAGCACGAGTGTAATACACATAGAGGTGAATAACTGTACTCATTATACATGTAGCGAATTTAATATTATGAAATATTAATAGAAAATTAGGTCATATAGGATATCAAAGAATCTCATTACGATTTCACGTATCGCCTCATTGCGATTCAATGATTGAAGTGTAACCTGCGATGTGAGTGATATTAATGTGGACTCGGCATGCTTGAAACCGCAATCAAGTGTCGTTTCCGATGTTTACACATTCTGTATATATTCGCAAGAAAATATATTGCAGGTAAACAAAAAATATATATATATATTTATATATGTATGTGTATACACATGCAATGCACTTATCTAGATATAGATATATTTATCGCAGGATATTCGGCAACAAGCGTACTTTGTGAACGGAACAGTATTTCTTAGCGAAAAATGGAATGATCTTAATAAAATTGTCGTATATCATTCTCCTTGTTTTACTTGTCGACAAGTAAAAACTTGCAGCAATTTCAATAATTTTCGATAATGTGTCATTTAAAGTTCACAAATATGCTTATTATCGAACATCCTCTTCGTGTCACGCGATCACGCGTGACATCTCGTATTTTCTTTTTCCTTCTTTTTTTTTCCTTCTGCGACATTATCACGATACCTCATTAGGCGGATACATTAGTCCAGCCCATTGATGTACGATAACGAAGAATAAATTATTGTTGCGTCCTATTTATTTATAACGAAATTGATTTGACGTGTTTTCTGTTCGCCTACCAAAAAAAAAAAAAATATCCCAAATCCATCCCATCGCAAAATGCTACACGACTCGTTATCACACCTTCCAGATTGCAGATTATTCTTGAATCGCTTATAGGTTGCTACGCAAGAGTGTCATTTTGCCGAGAAGAAAGTGAGTATGTGGAACGACACGCGCGAGAAC